CCCCCCGTCCCTGTCCCGGCAGAGGGCACCGAGCCCCCCGCGGCGGGCGAGGAGCGGACGGTGACGGCGCCGCTGGTGGGGGCACCCGGCCCCCCCAAAACGGCCGCCCCGGAACGGGAGACGTGGACCCGGCAGATGGACTTCATCATGTCCTGCGTGGGCTTCGCCGTGGGGCTGGGCAACGTGTGGCGCTTCCCCTACCTGTGCTACAAGAACGGCGGAGGTGAGCACCGGCGCGGGGTGGGGGGGCCGCCCCACGGGGCCGCCCTTGGGGCTCGCGGGGTGGGGGTCCGCCACCTGCCCGCCCTGACCTACATCGGCGCGCGGCGAGGGGGAGTGCGCGGAGTGCCGCTCGCCATTCGCTGCGCCCAGCGGGCGGCGCGGGGGGGACCGGCGAGGGGGGGACGGCACGGCTGAGCGTACCCTGAATGTCTGCGTCCCCCCCTCAGGCGTCTTCCTCATCCCCTATCTGCTCATCGTCTTCGTGGGCGGCATCCCCGTCTTCTTCCTGGAGGTGGCCCTGGGGCAGTTCATGAAGCAGGGGGGCATCGCAGCATGGAATATCGCTCCGCTCTTCAAAGGTATTCACCGTTCCCCCCCCCTCGGTGCCCTGCGCGGGGCCCCTGCAGCTCCCTGCCCACACCCCGTGTCCCGCAGCCAAGGATGGCGGCTCCCTGCCCTGCCCTGCAGCTCCCCATTACCGTCCCCGAGAGCCACGAGTCCCCATCGTGCCCATGGCCGACCCCGTGCCATCCCCCCACCCATCATCCCACTTCTACACATCCCGTCCCTGCCGTCATCCCACATCCTGTCCCCCTGGCTCACCGTGGGTGCGTGGAGCCCCGTGCCAACCCCACTGCCGCTGTTCCAGGTCTAGGCTTGGCCTCCATGGTGATCGTCTTCTTCTGTAACTCCTACTACATCATGATCCTGGTGTGGGGGCTCTTCTACCTGGTGCACTCGCTAACCGACACTCTGCCCTGGGCCACCTGCGGCCACGCATGGAACACTGAGCGGTGCGCAGAGTTCTTTCACCTGGAGCTGTGCCGCAACGCCAGTGCCAACGCCAGCGCCGCCGTCACCGCCCTCAACGTCAGCTGCGTCGACATGGCCGACAAGCGCTCACCTGTCATCGAGTTCTGGGAGTGAGTGCGGGGACGGCGCGGGGTGGAGGGGATGGGGATGTGGAGGTGCTCAGTGCCACCCCACTGTGCAGGAACAAAGTGCTGCGGCTGTCGGGGGACCTGAGCGAGCCCGGGGAGATGAACTGGCAGATGATCCTGTGCCTGGTCACCACCTGGATCATCGTCTACTTCTGCATCTGGAAGGGCGTCAAGTCAACCGGGAAGGTAACATCGTCCCACATCGGTACGGGAGGTGCCACCCATGCTCGGGGACGTCCAAGCCCCAGCACTGATGGGGACACGTGTGGCACAGGGCGTCCTGCCCCATAGCACCTCTGCCCCACAGGGGTCTGATCAGCACCCCATCCGCAGATTGTCTACTTCACGGCGCTGTTCCCTTACGTGGTCCTCATCCTGCTGCTGGTGCACGGCGTGACGCTGCCCGGCGCGCTGGGCGGCATCATCTACTACCTGAAGCCCGACTGGTCCAAGCTGGCCGAGGCGCAGGTGAGGGCAGGGGAGGCAGTGAGGTCACGGGGAGGGACACGCGTGCCCCTAAAATCCCAGCGCCATCCCCGTGCCCCAGGTCTGGATCGACGCCGGCACTCAGATCTTCTTCTCTTACGCCATTGGGTTGGGCGCGCTGACGGCGCTGGGCAGCTACAACCGCTTCCACAACAACTGCTACAGGTAGGGCTGTGCCGCCACTGGGACCCCGCAGAGCCCCCGCAGAGCCCCCGCAGCAGCCCATAACCCGCTGTGCCCGCAGGGACGCCTACATCCTGGCCGTCATCAACAGCTCCACCAGCTTCTTCGCCGGCTTCGTCGTGTTCTCCGTGCTGGGCTTCATGGCCTCGGAGCAGGGCGTAGATATCTCCAAAGTGGCCGAATCAGGTGAGTGGTGCGTGCTGCGGGCCCTGTGTATCCTACAGGGGGTGGCACCGCTCACCCTACTGTCCTCGCAGGCCCTGGGTTGGCCTTCATCGCCTACCCCAAAGCCGTGACGCTGATGCCCCTGTCCCCGCTGTGGGCCACGCTCTTCTTCTTCATGCTCCTGGTGCTGGGGCTGGACAGCCAGGTAAAGCAGTGGGGACGGGGATGGGGATGGGATGCCGTGCCTCTGCTGACCCCGCTGTGTGCCGCAGTTTGTCGGTGTGGAGGGTTTCATCACGGGCATCCTGGACCTGTTCCCCCAGCCGGGGGCCGGCTCACTGCGCCGCGAACTCACCGCCGCGCTCTGCTGCCTCGTCTGCTGCCTCATCGACCTCTCCATGGTGACACAGGTGGGGACGCGCAGGGACACGGGCCAGGGCCGGGCTGTGCCTTCCCATGGCGTGGGGCTGGAGCTCCCTTGACTGCGTGGGCTTCCTGTGCTATCTGGGGGGTGTGTGCCATTGGAGTGCCCTTGGCACTGGGGGTGTCTGTGACATTTGAGGTGTCCGTGCAGTGTGGGGTGTCTGTGCCATTTGGGATGTCTGTGCCATTGGAGTGCCCATGGCATTGGGCTGTCCGTGCCATTTAGAGAATCCACACAGTTTGGGGTGTCTGTGCTATTTGGGATGTTTGTGCCATTGTAACTGGGGGGTCTCCGTGCCATTGGGGGTCCCTGTGCTATTTGGAATGCCAGTGCCATTTTGTGATCTCTGTGCTTGGGGTCCCTGTGCCATTTGGGTGCCCGTGCAGCAGGGACACGCAGCACAGCCCAGTGACATGCTGTGCTGTCCCACAGGGCGGCATGTACGTGTTCCAGCTGTTTGACAACTACTCGGCCAGCGGGATCACGCTGCTGTGGCAGGCCTTCTGGGAGTGCGTGGTCATCGCCTGGGTGTACGGTGAGGCCGTGGGACGGGAAGGGATGTGGGGACGGGCACCCTGGGACCCCGCTGACGTCCCCGTCCCCGCAGGCGCTGACCGCTTCATGGACGACGTGGCCCGCATGATCGGCTACCGGCCGCTGCCCTTCATGAAGTGGTGCTGGGCCGTGGTGACGCCGCTGGTCTGCGTGGTGAGCGGGGACGCGGTCGCGCGTGGGTCGGGGCCGCTCGGACGCCCTCTCGTGGCCCTATGCGCGCTGCCCCGGGCGGCGCTCCGCGGGCTCCGGGCTCCCCCCGGCGGCGGCTGCGGGCACGGCGGTGGGGTGGGGGTGGGAGGCTCGTGCGGGGAACGCGCGTGGGGACGGCGGTGAGAGCTCGCTGCCGCTCCGCCCAGGGCATCTTCTTGTTCCACGTGGTGAACTACAAACCGCTGACGTACAACAAGACCTACGTGTACCCGTGGTGGGGCGATGCCATCGGCTGGGTCCTGGCGCTCTCCTCCATGCTCTGCATCCCCTGCACCGTCATCTACAAGCTCCTGCGCTGCAAAGGCTCCTTCCGCGAGGTGGGGCAGCACCGGGCCACCCTCGTCCTCGTCCCCATCCCTTCCGGATCTGACTCCATTCCCTGTCCCTTTTGGCATCTCCATCTCATCACCTCACGTTGCTGTCTCAGTCCAATCCTGAGCTGAATCCCATCCTCATCCCGCTGCCTTCTCCCCATCTCATCCCTGTCCCCATTGCCATCTCACTCAAAGCCAACCTCATCCGAATCTTGTCCCTGCTCTATGGTTTTCTCTGTTTGAATCCCATCCTTGTCCCCATCCTTCTCTCTCTCTCAGCACTGTCTCAGTTCCCATCCCCACCTTGTGCCCCGCTACCCTGTCCCTCCCTCAGTCCCATTTCAATCCCTTCCCCAGCTCAATCCAAATTCTGTTCCTATCCTACGCCCATCCAAACTCCATCCCTGTCCCCATCCCAATCCAAACCCCATCCCCACCCACGTGCCATGTCCCGTGCCACGTCCCCACTACTGACCCCATGTCCCTGCAGCGCTGGCAGCTGCTGACCACGCCAATCTGGGGCCACCACCACCTGGAGTACCTGACGCCCGAGGCCGAAGCCAAACTACTGGCCCCGGAGCCCCCCAAGGAGAAGACGACGCTCTTCGAGACTGTGATCTGAGCGTGGGGAGGGTCGCGCTGCTCCCGCCCGCCATAGCAATAATGCCAGCACCGCCTCCCACCCACGCAGCCCCGCGCCCGGGCCCCCCCCACCACGCTGCCCCAGCCTCGATGCAGGGAGCAGGGAGTGGTGGGAACCGCTCGGGGACACGGGGACGGGGCGGCCATGGGGGTCCCCAGCGCTGGGAGGGGGGTGTGGGATATGGGGAGCGGGTGGTGGGAGGGGGGGAAGCGAGTAGGACAGCCCCTCCCCGGCCTCCGTCCCTGTGCCCCGCTGCCCCTCCAGCCCGGCCGCCCCGGCCGGTGGCACCTCGCTCACTAACCGCTTCTGTAGCGTTTGTCTGGTGTAACCCCAACCGCCCCGACATCTGGCAATAAACTGGGAGACCCTGGCACACCCCGGCTTGGGATGGTGGCACCTGGTTGGGAGGAGCTGGATGGGGGTGGTGGCACTGAGGGGCTGTGGAGAACCTCTCGTTGTGGGGTTATAGAGGCAGCTGCTGCCCTGAGCCCACCTGGCCATGGGAAGATTGTGGGGCTGAGAGTTGTCTGAGCCCCAGGGGGTGTCAGGTGTATGCTCCCCAGGAGGTCCGTGGGCATCCTGCCCTGCAGTGAGGTTAGGGATGTCCCCACCATGAGGGACAAGGAGGGAACAGTGGCACTGCCTGCCCAGGCCATCCCTGCGTCATGCCTTGTCACACCACCACACCGTGTCATATGGCTCTGTTGTAACACCCTGTGCCGTGCCATGGTGGGTGATACGCCGTGCTGTGCCAAATGGCTGTGCTGTGCCAAGTGGCCGTGCTGTGCCAGGTGGCCGTGCTGTGCCAAGTGGCCATGCTGTGCTATGCCAGGGGCCTCACTGAGCTCCAGCAGGACTGGAGTGCAGTGGGGTCTCAGTCTGGGACACCGGTTGGTGCCACCGCTGCACCCTCTCACCCCACCACGGTGATCCAGCCATTCCGGCCCCACCACCATCTCACACCATAATTAGTGCAGGCAGGGCGGAAGCACCCCTGCTAATTGCCGGTGACTCGTTAACGCTGGAGCGCCATGTGCTTGGGGTGCGGCAGGACTATCCGGCAGGGCTGGTCTGCGGGCATCCCGCTGCGCCGTGCGGGTCTGCGGGGCCGTGGCAGGGCCCTCGTGTCACGGCATGTCACAGCCCTGTGATAAAAGCGGCGGCTGCGGGGCGGCGTTGGGGCACAGCGGCGGAGACGGTGAGAGCAGAGGCAGCGGGCCGGGCAGGGAAGGGAAGCGGGGAGAGGAGGTGCCAGGGCTCTCGGCCACGCAGCGCCATGAACAAGATCACGGTGTACGAGCGTGCCGACTTCGAGGGGTTGAGCCGTGAGTTCACCTGCGACGTGCCTGACCTGCATGAGCTGGATTTTGGCGACTGCATCACCTCGCTGAAGGTGGTGGGGCAGCCCTGGATCGCCTACACCCAGCCCAAGTACGAGGGCGAGCCGCACGTCTTCGAGGAGGGTGAGTACGCGGCCGTGGAGCGGCCCAACAGCTTCTCGGCGCTGCGCCTGGTGCACCACGACCTGCTGGACCCACAGATCACCCTCTACGAGCGGCCCCACCTGCAGGGCGCCTGCAAGGTGGTCAGCGAGGAGACCAACTTGGCGTACGGGTACTTCAATGACCGCGTGGCCTCGCACGTGGTGCAGCGCGGGGTCTGGCTGCTCTACCAGCACCCCAACCGCGGCGGCTGGCACTGCTTGGCGTGGCCCGGGGAGCGCGTGGACGACTACGGGGCGCAGTTGCACTTCCAGGCCCGGCTGTCCCACCTGCGCCCGCTGCGGCCCGGCCGCCCCACGGTCACCGCGCAGCTCCTGTGGGACCAGAAACGCATAGAGGCGGAGCGGGAGGTGCTGGTGGATGAGATCGTGGGGGTGAACGAGACCGAATCGGAGCAGGCGCTGGCGGCCGGCAGCACGCGGGAGTACAGCACGACGCTGTGGCAGAGCTTCCGCTTCAGCAACTCCACCAGCCTGCGGGCCGGGCTCTCCTTCACGCTGGCCGTGGAGGCCAGCAACGTCTTCACGGTGCAGAAGGACCGCAGCGAGTCGTGCACGCGGAGGGAGCGCAGCGAGGTGGCCCTGCCCGCCAAGGTCCCACCGCGCACGCAGCTCACCATCCACGTGCTGCGCAAGGAGGTGACGCTGTCGGTGCCCGTGCTGCTCACCATCACGCAGAACGAGGCGGTGCGCACCGAGATGGGGGAGTACCGCAGCGTGTCGGGCACCAACGTCTGCGCGCGGTTCAGCATGAGGCCGCTGTCCGCCGCGGGCACCAGGAGGGAGGAGCAGACGGGGGCTGCGGCGGGCACTGAGCAGGCGCGCGGCGTGGGGATGGGGCGGGTGGCGGGCGTAGGGATAGAGCCAGGGGACAACGTGGAGCAGGTGCCCACCAGGTGCTGAGTGGCCGTGCCAATAAAGCCCTTTCTGAATTGCAGTGCTGGCAGTGGTGTTGTGGACGGGAGTGGGTATCCTGGGGTGCCACAGACTGAGCACGGCGCTGTGGGACGGCTGCAGTGGGTGGGTGTGGGCATAGAGGTCAGCTGGGGTGCTGGGGCGCGGGAGGGGACGTGGGAAGGGACGTGGATGGCTGTCCCCGTGGATGGGGACCTAAGGAGAAGTACAGGAGGATTGGATCGCCGTGGGAACACAGTGAGGGGGGACATGGGTGGCTGTGAGGGCGTAAGAGGGGTGCAAGGAAGAGAGAAGCGGCTGTGGGGACACAACGTGGAGGACACAGGGGGCAGGGGTGGCCGTGGGGACGCAATGTGAGGACGAAGGGAGGAGACGGGTGGCCGTCTGAAGCATAGGGTGGACATGCGGGGCCGCAATATGCGTGCCCGTCGATGACAAAAGAGACCGAGAGCCGTCCTCAGGGGTCCGCCCGCCACCGCCCCCCGCAGCTCCGGGGCCGCCCCTACCAGCCCCCGGCCCCGCCCCGGGCCTGCCCCCCACGTGTCCTCCGCGGGCAGCGGTCCCTTTAAATGATGCAACCATCCTTCCGCCTGGCCACGCCCCCCTGATCTCCGATTCGCGAAGCTTGCTAGGAGTTTCCTCATTCCATTGGCCGAAACGAGGGGCACTCTCCATTGATTGGCTCGTCGGGGAGGGCGGAGCGGCGCGAGGCCCCGCCCCAGCAGGCGGGCAGCGGCAGCATGGCGGCGATGGCGGCGGCGGAGGAGGCGGAGGTGCTGAACTTGTTTACCGGCATCGGGCTGACCGAGGCCAAGGCCCGCGAGACGCTGCGCAACGCCGCGCTGAGCGCGCAGCTCCGCCAGGCCGTGCTGCAGGCCCGCGCCGCGCTGGGCTCAGGCCTGGATAAAGCCACCGGCGCTCTGCTGTACAACGCGGCCGCCCGGCTCCGCGACCCGGACCGCTTGGCCTTCGTGGTGGGGTACATCGGGCGGAGGGAGATCCGCACCGACCAGCAGTTGGGCGGTACGGAACGGCCTGGGGGGTGGGGGAGCGGGGCAAGGTGCCGGGGGCTGGTGCTGAGCGCGCTGTGGCCGCAGCCGCCCTGCAGTACCTCCGCAGTCACCCGCTGGAACCGCTGGAAACGGCCGACTTCGAGCGGGCGTGCGGCGTGGGGGTGCGGGTCAGCCCCGAGCAGATCGAGGAGGCGGTGAGTGGGGCCGTGGGGGGCGCGGAGCGGGAGTGGATGAACGGGGAGGGTCGGGCCGTGCTCCCCGCTCAGCCCCCGGGGTCCGCAGGTGGAGGCCGTGGTCAGCCGGCACCGGGAGGAGCTGCTGGCGGAGCGGTACCACTTCAACACGGGGCTGCTGATGGGTGAGTGCGGGGCTGGGGGATGGAGGTGGGCCTGGGGGTCTTCTTGAAGCCCCCCGGGCCGCGCCCCACGCTGCGTGCCCCAACAGCGGAGGCGCGGAGCCGGCTGCAGTGGGCGGATGGAAAGAGCATCAAGAACGAGGTGGATCTGCAGGTGGGTGCTGGGCACTGTGGCACAACGTGCCCTGGGCCGCCCCGAGCACGGGCCGCCCCGTCAGACCGCCTTCACTCCACCCAGGTGCTGCATTTGCTGGGACCAAAGACAGAAGCTGATCTGGAAAAGAAACCAAAGGTGATGTGGAAGGGCCGCGTGCTGGTTCCTGAGTGGCCGTAGCCGCCATCACAGGACAGTGCTATTGGTGAGGTGGGCAGGGCTGGAGGAAGGTGAGTGCGCAGTGGGTGCTCAGGCTGCTGTGCTCGTCCCTGCAGGCTGCCAAGGCCCGGCCAGCCCCAGTGGAGAAGCAGAAGGCGCCCGTGGTGGAGAATGGTGAGTGGCTCCGTCGGAGCTTCCCCAGCCCTTTGGTCCCAGCAGCCCCCGGGCTGTGGTCAGGCATCGCTGCACTCAGTGCAAGCACAGGCTGTCCTCTGTCCCACCGGGCAGTGCTGGCTCAGCCCTGTCTCTCCCCATAGGTGAGGTGGGCATGGAGACAAAGTCGCTGCTGGAGCAGCTGCGAGGAGAAGCTCTGAAATTCCACAAGCCAGGTGAATGCAAGGAGGCACTGCCTGCAGGCTGCCAGGCTTGGCACAGTGCTGCAGCACTGACCACACCGTCCCCACAGGAGAGAACTACAAGACGGAGGGCTATGTGGTGACACCCAACACCATGGCTCTGCTGAAGCAGCACCTGGCGGTCACGGGTGGGCAGGTGAGGTCGGGTCTTCGAGCACAGTGACTCCCTTGAGGGTGACATCGTTGTGTAAGGCTGCAGCGGGCACTGGGGAGGCACAAGGCATGGGGATTGTGTCAATGCCTTCTCCTTTCCCCATGCAGGTGCGGACGCGGTTCCCTCCTGAGCCCAACGGTATCCTGCACATCGGCCATGCCAAGGCCATCAACTTCAACTTTGGTTATGCCAAGGTGAGCACTGCATAGCCCTGCAGCCTGCTTCCATCTCAACGCATCCTCTGGTTGTGTCCAGGCCCTGTGGGGAGCAACTGCTTACTCTTCTCACTTCCCCAGGCCAATGGGGGAATCTGCTTCTTGCGCTATGACGACACCAACCCTGAGAAGGAGGAGGAGAAATACTTCACAGCCATCCGGGAGATGGTGGAGTGGCTTGGTAGGGCTTGTACTGGGGAGAGCAGGATGGGGCTGGCATGCTGATGGGAACATCTGTGCATGCAGCTCCTGCTGCCAAGCCCTAGTGATGGCTCAAACCTATCCTGTCTCCCCCAGGCTACCAGCCCTATGCTGTGACCCATGCCTCAGACTACTTTGACCAGCTCTACACCTGGGCTCTGGAGCTCATCCGCAGGTGAGTGTACTGTGGCAGTGCCCAGGGATGGCTGCCCCTTGCCCGGGGTGGGCTGCTTATGTCCACATGGCCACATGTCCTCCCTGCAGGGGACAGGCCTACGTCTGCCATCAGAAG